TTTATCTCCTGCTGAAATTCAGACTCATTTCTTCACCTCTAGCCTTGACTTATCCAATGCAGTCCTGGCTAGTCTGCCACTCTGTGTAAACTTGAGGTCATTCGAAGCTCTGCTGTGGGTGTCTTTACTAACTGCAAGCCCTACTTCCCCATTACCCTTCCTGCTTGCTGGCCTTCATTGGCTCCCAGTTAAGCAATGCCTTCCTTTTAAAATTCTCATCCTTGTTTTTAAATCCTTTCATGGCCTTGCCTGTTCCCATCTTGGTAGTCTCTTCCAATCCCACAATTCCCTGCAATATTTGCCATCCTCTAATTCTTTGTCAGTTCTAATCAGAACTGCTTCACCATTGATAGTTATGCTTTCACTTGCCAAGGCCCCAAGCTTCAGAATTCTCTCCCAACATCTCTCTACTTTGCTTTCTCCTTGAAACTCTTAAACCTACCTCTTTGACCAAGATTTTTGCCATCTGCACAAATATCTCTTTATGTGGCTCGGTGTTATACTTTGTTTTATAATGTAGCTGTGAAGCATCTTGGGACATTTCATTGCATTATGGTTACAATGTAAATATCAGTTATTATGCGCCCTCTTCCTTTTAGCATCTAGTGGTAATTTACAAACTGTGGTCAGGAAACAACAGATCATGATATCTAGCTTCTCTCAAAACTAATGTGTATCTAGACATCAGGACATGGAGTTGAAGTGACTGGTATGAATATTTCCTTGCCTTTCTCTATTTAGGACAGTTCCTCAATTGCTTGTTTTAAATCAAGTACCGCATGAAAATTAAATAAATAATTCAAAGTGCTACCATCACAAAATAATGCTTTTAATTATCTAGTTCTTTTCAGCATTGAAAGATTTATTGCTAATTTAACTACTTTTTTGAATGTGGAACTGGATAACATACTGTACAAAATTAACAACCCTCAAAAGTGTCACAGCACAGTGAATGTGTAAAAGGATCTGAATAGTTAAAAAATCATAATCCCAAACAAATAAGAAAAATTAAAGGCAAAAAGCAGTGTTTTAATAATATAATGAAAAATGACCAGATGATGCCATACGCAAATTTTAAACACAAACATTGTAAGAGAAGAAAAGTCTGAGGAAATGACTCTAGCATTTTATCAATCACAGATGTTAATCTAACTGGCCTATGGTTATCTAATTCTTTTGTCTCCTTCCCTTCTGAACAAGGGGTGTTACATTGGCAGTTTTCAAGTGTAGAAGTCATTTGTTAAACCCTAGAAAAATATTGCGTACAGTTCTAGGTGCCATATTATAGGAAGGATGTGAATACATTGGAGAGAGTACAGAAGTGAATTACAAGAACGGTTCCTGGGCGAAGAAATTTCAGTTATGAGGATTGAGTAAAGAAGTTAGAATTGTTCTCTTTGGAGATAATAGGCTAAGAGGAGATCTGGTAGCTTTCATAATCATGAGGGGGCTGGATAGAGTAGCTAGGGAGAAACTGTTCCTGCTCATAAAGGAATCAAGAACAGAAGGTACAGATTTAAAGTGATTTGCAAAAGAAGCTGATGTGAGGTGAGAAAAAAAAATTTTTTTCACACAGCTAGTATTTAGGAAGTATGATGGAAGCACGTTCAGTTAAGGCATTCAAGAGCGTCTTGGATGATCATTTGGATTAAAAAATAAGGTGCAAGTGTATGGGAGAAAAAGCAGGAGATCCGCAATATGGTAATGATGGTAATTTTAAGATGTAGTGCTGACATGATGTGTATCTTTCTGTGCCATAACATTGCCGTGATTCTGTGAATTAGCCCTCTAGGACTTTTCCTGAAGTTATGGATTCTTGGAAGATTACTACCAGTGCATCCATTATCCAAATGCTACTTCCTTTAATATCCTAGGATGTAATCCATCGGGTCCAGGGATATAGGAGCCAGTAGCCGCATTAATTTCCCTAGCATTTTCTCTATTGGTACTCATAATATTTAATTTATACCTAACTCCTTTTGCCTGTTGATTATTTAGTATTTTTGGGATGTTATTAATATCCTCGACAGTAAAGACCGATGCCAAGTATTAATACAATTCTTCTATTATTTCCTGGTTTCCCATTATTACTTTCCTCTCTGCACTCTCTAAAGGGCTTACATTTAGTTTTTAACACTCACTTTCTTGAATACATATTTAAGAAACTCTATGTTACTTGTGAGTTTAGTCCTCAGTTTATTTTTGCCCTCCTTATTTTGACTTTTTGGTATTTTTTGTTGGTTTTTAAATTTTCTCAACCTCTGGTTTACCACTAATCTTTGCCACACTATTGTTTTTCCTTTTAATGTGATACTATCCTAAACATCATTCCTACCAGTTTGACCAAGCCTCTGGTCATCTAATCTAATATTTCCTCATGTGGCTCATATGTCCTTCCATAATGCTTCCGAGTGGGAAACACATTGGAACAGTGCATCAAACAAAATTATTGTTGACAACCCTGCTTGAAAAATCCTATTGGATCACAGTTCTGACATTGTACCTATTTTATGATATATTACATAACCTTTTTACATTCAGAAAGATGCAGTTGTACCTGTGCAGAAGGAAAAGGATTAAAAATCAGATAGTACTGGAGAAACTCAGCAAATCTAGCAGCATCTATGGAGACTGAAACTGAGCTAACTACTTGGATTTTGTGATGGTGGGATAGTGCTTATTATAGCATGGATTGGACTTGCCTAAAGGGATTCTGTAGAATCCCCATCATGGTAGACTCCAAAGTTTAAAGTTTGAGAAGATTTGTAGCTCAGGTTGTGGATGAGGTTGTAGACATACTCGCCGAGCCAGTGGGTTTGGTCATTTGGCTGCAAACATTTCGTCACCCTGCTAGGTAACATCGTCATGCGTGTCTCCGGTTAAGCGTTGATGTTCTGTCCTGCTTGTTATTTATATACCTCAGTTTGCTGGGGTGATTGGTAGTATTGGTAGGGTGACAAGTGATTCTGGTTGTGTTGTGTCTTCCTGTTGTGGAACCGACTACCCTTCCTGGACATAATGGTAGAACGCAAAAACAACGGGGAACTCCAGACTAACGTTTATGGAAAGACCACACATACAGACCAAATACTTAATTACACTAGCAACAACCCCAACACCCACAAACGGAGCTGCATCAGGACACTATTTAAATGAGCCACAACACATTGCATTAACCCGGAAGTATGCAAAGCAGAACAAGAACACTTATACGAAGTCTTCAAAAGAAATGGATACCCAAAAAGCACAATCTGCCGTTACCTCAGAGACAAACCACAACAGGAAGACACAACATGACCAGAATCACTTATCACCCTACCATACATCAAGGATATTTCAGAGATGACCACAAGACTACTCAGGCCCCTAGGTAGTAGTCCAGTACAGTAGTCCACAAACCGACAACCATCCTACGATGAATGTAAAGGATTCCATACATAAAGTAAGGGTGATGTTGGGGAGTGGGCCTAACTGGATGAAGATAGGGTGCTAAGTGAGTATGCTGTGCAAAAAGAGGTAGGATTCCAAGTATCCAAAACTGGAAAAACTGGGGTAATATACAAAATACCATGCAAGGACCGTGAGGAACACAACACAGGCCAAGCCAGAAGAAAACTGACTATACGGATACATGAACTCCAACTAGCCACCAAGAGACATGACCAATTCTCACTCGTCTCACTACACACAGACAATGAGGGACACGAATTCGACTGGGACAACACATTGATAATTGCACAAGCCAAACAGAGACGTGCCAGGGAATTCCTGGAAGCCTGGTATTCCAACCAGAACTCCATCAACAAACACAATGAATTAGACCCTGTGTACAAACCACTGAGAAACAAAACCGGAAATAATACTAATCACCCCAGCAAACCGAGGCATATAAATAACAAGCAGAACAAAACACAGACGCCTAACCAGAGGCGCACTGACAACGTTACCTCGTAGGGTAACAAAACATTTGCAACCAAACACACCGGCTCAACGAGCATGTCTACGACGTCCAACTCCAAAGTAATTGTCCCGGAAGTTGAAGATTCTGCTGGGCATTTCCTGAATTTCTACAAAAGCCTCGATTTAAGTCAGAGGATTCAAATGGTTCTAATGAAATTAAGTAGATTTCTTGGCTAACTATTCAACTGCCCACCTACTTAGCTCATACCCTGCCCAACTATTTCTCCCCTAGACCACTTACAGTCTCCAAACCCTGACCCAACACTTCCCCAGAACATGACCACCCCACCCCCAAGGTGACCTGATCCCACTCCTTCCCACCTTAAGTCCCCTCGTGTGTGACCCAAACAGCCCCTGACACCAGGTCCAACCCCCCATAACTAACACCCACCCTCAGATCCAATTTCACCTACCTATCTTAAACACTGCAGCATTCACCTAGCCACCTGGCACCCTATCCACTTGGAATCCTACCTCTTTTCACATAGCATCCAACCCAGCTGTCACTATACTCACCTAGCACCCTATCATCATCCAGTTAGGCCCACTCCCCAACATCACCCATTCTTTATGTACTTAGTGTATGACAGAAGGTGGCTGTGAGGACATTCAGAACCATGCAGCTAACTGCTGTGAAAAGGGGGTAAGGGTTGCCTTCCTCCCACGAGGAAAAATTGTCGTAAGGGAAGAAAGCCTCCTCACTTCTGAAGGAGCCCTGAGTTGAATCTCCTCAGAAATGACGAGCTCCTTTGAAGGATGAAAATGGCAACGAGTGAGATTCTGCTCTGAAGAAGGTGCACTGGTCCCGAAACGTTCACTCTGTCGTCTCTCCACAAATGCTGCCAGACCTGCTGAAGTTCTCCCAACCGCCGCAGCTTTTTTTTTGCTGAGGTTGCCACTCCTTTAAAAATCCAGCCAAACATTCCGCATCCAATGACCCTTATACGAATAAACCGGAAGCTTTCTTTGAGATAGCAAGAACTGCAGATCCTGGAGTCAGGGACAACACAGTGTGGAGCTGGAGGAACACAGCAGGCCTGCCAGCATCAGAGGAGCAGGGTTCGGGGCCCTTCTTGATCCGAAACGTCAATTATCCTGCTCCTCTGATACTGCCTGGCCTACTGTGTTCCTCCAGCTCCCACAGTGTTGTCCCGGAAGTTTTCTTTGCAAAGCGTCCTGGGACTTGTAGTTCCAAGATCCGTTGACTAAACAGGATTTTGTCGTCCGTGAGAACTACAATTCCCTTGAGGTCCTGTGTGCCTCCTGCCGGTGTGAATCATCATGGCGCCGCCGCTAGTTAGTCTGTGCGCATGGTGTCAGAGAGCGCTCACGAATCGAACAGCGAACCGTTTAACTGTTGTTAGAGGCAGCGCGCGCTCTGCAGCAGCAAGGGATGGTCGCAGTAAAAGGTGATAGTTTAAGGAATATGTTTAGAGGTATCTGAGTAAAAGTAGAGTTGTGGCATCGTATGGATGTTGCATTAAAAGCGACCGTTTGATCCACTGCCTTTTATACCAATGTCAAGAGTCGGATTTATAAACCGGTGTTGAGAATATTCAGCCCAGATTGACCTGCAATCATCACATAAACATCGATAATTTCATTCTTGTGTGGTGCAGAATTGTTTCATTACCCAGCATGACGATTATTACATTTGTATGTTTTTATTCTGATTAATTGTTTTTTGAAATGAGTAATGGGCACTGCCAGATATGTCGGAATAGGACGTAGTCGTACTAAAAAAGGTTTGCTAATCCGTGTTTTATTGGTCGGAGCAAAAATTGACACGATTCTCATCACTGCAGGGTAAACCAATTTGCAACTGTTTACAAACACGTTTTAACAAAATGGTGCCCTTTAAAAGTGTCTAGCAAAGTAATTTACGGGGTTTATTTGTGTGATTTTGTTGTCAAGTTGAGTTGTTAAGTAATTTAATTTTTTAATTAGTGCATTTTTTAATTAGATCAATGCTCACAGCTGTTATTGCACAAATTTTAATCTCAGACTTTTTCAACATATGAAAACTGGCATTATTCTATTTTTGTAAGGGTCTTTTGTATACAGGATGTAGATTTTCAGGCTATATACCATTCATTAATAAGTTCCACATCAGAATAAGTAAATCATGGTGTACGGAATCCAAGATGATCCTCTGTGTGATGCTAACTAAATCAACTCACCTGTAAGAACGAGTAGAAGTAGGCTGTTGGCCCATCAAGTCTGCTCTGCCATTCTGTGAATTCATGGCTGCTGATTATCCCCAACTCCACTTTCCTGCCTGATTGCCATAATCTTTGTTTTTTTAAAATCTATCTATCTCATACTTAAATATTCAGCCTTGTCATCCTATGCAGTAAAGAATTTGACAGATTCACCATCGTCTGAGAGAAAATAATCCTCATTTTAAGTGGGTGACCCCCGAATCTGAGATTATGTTCTCTGGTCCTAGACTCTCCCACAAATGGAAACAATCATTTTGCATCTGCCCTGTCTAACCCTCTCAGAGTCTTATATATTTTAGTAAGGCCTCCTCTCATTCTTCTAAACTCAAATACAGGTCCAACCTATTCAATGTCTCCTCATCAGAAAATCAACCTGGTAAGCCTTCTCTGGATTCTTCCAATGCCAGTACGTATTTCCTTAGATAGATTCACAGTATTCTAGATGTGGTCTAACTGGAGCTTTATAGAATTTTAGCAGAATGTCCTTTTTTTAATACTTTATTTCGATTGAAATAAAGACCAACAGCCTATTTGCCTGTTACCCTCCTAAACTTGTGTGCTGGTTTTCCTGCGATTGAGGACCCCAAATCCCTCTGGGCTGCAGCTTTCTGCAGTCTTTCCCCATTTAAATAGCGTCCAGGTCTTTTATTCTTTTTGCCAAAGTGCATAACCTCACATTTGCTCACATTTGCTCACATTATATTCCATCAGCTTAGTTTTTATCCATTACGTAACCTGTCTCTATCCTTCTGTAGACTCTTTGTGCCATCCTCACTACTTGCTTCCCACCTAATTTTGTCATCTGTAAACTTGGTGATTACTAATTTCACTCAGCCAAGTCAGTGCTATATATTGTAAATAATTGTGGTTCCAGCGCTGATCCCTGTGGTATTCCACTAGAAGAAAAGGGTGGTGTGCTGAAAATGGCCCATTTATCCCAACACTCTGTTCTCTATCCATGCTACTATACTACCCCCAAAACCAACAGCTTATCTTATTTTTGGCCTGCTGTGTTCATCCAGCCCTGCACCTTGTTAGCTCATCTTATTAAGTAGCCTTATGTGCAGTACGTTAAAATTTCTTTTGGGAATCCAAATACATAACATCTATTGACTCCCTTTATCTGTCCTGCTTGTTACCTCCTCAAAGAACTAATAAATTTATCATTTATCATTTCCCTTTCCTGAAGCCATGCTGATGCTACTTGATTGTATTATGTCTTTGTAAATGCTCTGCAATTAAACATCATTTATAGTAGTCACTAATGTTTTTCAAATTATACTAAGCTAACTGGCCAGTGGTTACTTTTTATTGTCTTCCTCCTTTTTTTGAATAAGGTGTTTCATTGGTAGTTTTCCAAAAGGCTGGATGGGACATTCTAGCTAGCTTTGTTCAGTTATTCCACAAACAAAAAAATAATTTTTAAACAGTGCATCATAAGTGTTGCTCTGTTTTCAATTAATCTAATTATTTAAATTGTATGTTTGAGTGACCATTTGTTTGAAGTAAACATAATTCATGGCATGTGTCTGTTTTGTGAACCAATGCTTTTACATTTAAAAATTTTGTTTGAACTTTATTAATACTTAGAGAGAGGCTTGCATTTATAAGAATACCTTACACAATCTCAGGATGTCACAAAGAATTTCACAGCCAATTAAAGTATAGGAAATGCAGAATCCAGTTTCTGAACAGCCTCCTACGAGTAACAATATGATAATGACGACAATCTCTTTTAATAATATTGTATATGTTGGTATATATTGGTCAGGACGCTGAGAATAACTGCCCTGGTCATCTTCAAAGTAGTGCCATTGGATTTTTTTAACAGCTGGAACCTTGGTTTTATGTCTCATGCAAAAGGCAAAGTCTTACCTAATTGTGAGATTTCCTTTAATTCTGTAAAGCAACTCTAATTTAGATTATTAGCCATATCTATGTCTCATTTTAAACAAAAAATTCTTTCCTTCCAGCAAATGGATGGGCGTTGTGGGATTGGAAGTCCATGCTCAGTTATGTTCCAACTCCAAATTATTCTCTGGGTCCCGGGTTCAATTTTCAGCACCTCCAAACTCATTGGTTTCATTTTTAGATGCTTCACTTCCGGGCACATTACCCGTGAGTATTTTCAAAGTTTCCATATTGGACTTGTTGAAGTAGAAATAATGGTATTTTAAATAAATGACCTTATTCTACATGATACCTCTTGCCAAATTGAGTTTTTCTTGTGATATTCTATGCACTCCTCCAAACAAACCCTGCTTTAATGTTTTCAGACGATGTGATGTGATAGGCATGTGGTCCCTTGTTACCTGAATAAAGAAACTAAAGCTGCATAGATAAAGATTGTGGTGGAATGAATAGGGTAATTAAAGTGAATTAATGGGTGAAGTGGTGGACATAGTGCTCAAATTGGCATTAGAGTTTAATATCTCACTGGTTACAATTGTTCATGCCCATTGTTTGTAAGAATGCTGGATTTTGGTGACTTATGAAGTAAATGCTATCGAGTCTGATGAATCCATAGTTCTCTTCTCACAACGGAAGCACTAAAGAAATTTTACCATCCTGTTTTAGATCTGGAAATGTATGATGCCTGAAATGATTCTCAACTTGGGGCTCCATGAGGACCACTCAGTTCCTGACCTCATTACTGCCCTCGTGTAAACATTGGCAAATGAACTGCACTCCAGAGGTGGGGTGAGGGTGACTGTTTGTTTTTGATAGTAAGGAATTTGACAGACTATGGCATCAAGGAGTCCTAGCAAAATTAGAATCAGTGGAAATCAGGAGGAATATCCTCTGCTAGTTGGAGTCATAAGCACGAGTAAAAATGCTTATTTTTGGAGATCAATCATGTCAGCTCCAGGACTTTTCTGTAGAAATTTCTCAGCGTAGTGTCCTAGGTGCAACCATTCAGTTTATTCATCAATGACCTTCCCTCCATCATAAGGTCTGAAGTGAGGATGTTTGCTGATGCTTGTACAGTGCTCAGCACCATTCATGACTCAAAATACTGAAACAGTCCATGTCCATATGTAGTAAGACCTGGACAATATCAAACTTGGGCAAGTAGCATTTACACTGCACAAGTGCCAGGGAATGATAATTTCAAATGTGAGGATCCAATCACCCTCCCTTGATATTCAGTGACATTAGCATTAGCGTTCAGGCTCGTGTGCCCGGCCTTGTCATCCTTGTCTGTATTTTTCCTTTTTTGCTTTTCCCTTCTTCTCAAACTTATCTGATAATGAGAGCTCTATGGCAGGAGGTGGCTTTGATGGGGTCCAGAGCGGCAGTGCATTTTTGGAGGCAGCTTGGCTGCAGAGATAACAAAAACAAAGTTGCTGGAAAAACTCAGCAGGTCTGGCAGCATCTGTGAAGGAAAAAACAGAGTTAACATTTTGGGTCCGGTGACTCCTCCTCAGAACGAGATTGTTAGTCAGCCTGTGAAGCCTGGAGCAGGACTTTCGTTTCCGTGTGGAGTGGGCCCCTGACAGCAGCATGGTGTGACCTGGGTAGCCGGGTGCAGGACACTGTCTCAGTGGCATGGCATGGGCTGGGAAGACTGAAGCGGGACTCTGGTGGCGATACGCTGTAGCAGCAGAGAAGGAAAAATTGGACTCTCTTTAAGTGATCTTTTTTTATTTTATTCTGTGAATAGAGCTTATGTACAAGCGACGGTACGCACTTTTCACTGTATTTTATATTGAATGCACGTGACAATAAAGGATATTCATTCATTCATTGCTGAATCCCCTCCTGTCAAAATTTTGGGAGGGCTACCATTGACCAGAAACTGAACTGGACCAGCTAAATGCTGTGGCAAAAAGAGCAAGATTGCAGTGAATAACTCGCCTCCTGTCTCTCCAGTGCCTATCCACTGTATACAAGGCACAACTCAGGAACATGATGGAACACTCTCCACTTTCTTGGATCAGCTCCAACAGTACTCGAGAAGCTTGACATCCACAAAGACAAAGCAGCCCACTTGACTGACATCCAGTTTACAATTTTCCACATTCGTTCCCTTCACTTCTGATGTGCAATGGGAACAGTGTGTGTACAACTTCAAGATGCACTGCAAAAACTCATCAAGGCTCTTTTAATAGCATCATCCAAATTTGCAAACTCTATCATTTAGAAAGACAAGGTCAGCAAAATGGAACACAGCCACTTGCAAGTTTTCCTCCAAGTCGCGCAACATCCTGACTTGGAACTAATTTGCTGTTCCTTCCCTATTGCTAGGTCAAAATGCTTGGACTCCCAAACAGCATTGTGAGCGAACCTACATCACATGGATTAGAGTAGTTCAAGAGGCAACTCACAAGTACCTTCTTGAGGAAATTTAGGGATGGCAAATATGCTGGCCTAGCCTGTATCCTACAAACAAATAAAAAGGTGTTTTGCATTAATTTCATTGTTACAATTCTGTTTCTTTTCCTTTGCATGTTTTAGCTCTAATCTTATTTTTAATCTGTTTTGTTTTATCATTGTAGCTGTTCACTACTCTACATTTCTAACTCCATTGGATGAGACTTTTTCTCTTGTCCCATTGATACTTGCTTCAGCCTTGCTCCACCAACTCTTTCGTCATTTAATGTTGTCTGTCTTCTGACCTCCCTACTTAGATTTGTTTAAAACCTATGTAGGGCTGTCTTTATAATCCTAACCTATTGAGCCAGTATAATGGAAAGCATGTTAAAAAAGCTATTGATGTTTTTGGAATTCCTCAAAATTACTTTATAGTTAAAATGTAAACAATAAAACAGTGATGCGTGATTGGTGATTTGTCAAAGTTGGAGATTCCCAAGTTTTGAAATGTAGAAAAATAGAGCAGAACCACATCCAACGCATCAAGGTGTGAAGGAACAATTTGTAAGAATTGTCAGGAGATTAAAATGCTTGCAAGCACAATTTAAATACATTTTACATAAGCTAAAGCAGCTAGAACTGATATGCTTGTCAAATTGTCATGTGTGCCCAAATATTTGTCTGCATATATGGAACATCCCTTTTCTGCCTCAGAAATCTTCAAAAACTTTACATCTTTACATTATGTATTCGGAGCTTGATTTAGATACTTTTTTCATTAACTATCAGTGTTTAATAAATTTTTGTTTTGCTGGCTAAGTATCCTTGAGAATGCATTGCTGAACAGTCTTCTTGAAGTGCAGTAGACCATGGGGTATGCCCAAAGTACTGTTGGGAAGGGCAGTTGAGGATTTTGATCCTTTATTATTGCTGGAACAATTATTTGGTTGAGGATTGTGACTGGCTTGGAGGGGAGTTTTCAAGTGATGGTATCCCTCCCCCTCTCCATCTGCTGTCCTTCTAAGCAGTAGAGCTTGCAGATTTGCAAGGTGTTGTTTAAGGCAACCTTGGTGAGTTTATGCAGTGCATCCTGTGGATGTTGCATTGTTCGTTGGTGTACAGCGTGTGAATATTGAAACTGGTGCATGGATAAACCATCTTGAACCAAGTTAAGTCTCCATTCCCAACATTTTGCCCTGCTTTGAGTCTTCTAGCTTATTTTTTGTATGAATAATTAACCTGCTCTGACTGAATGTGATTACACTTATTGGTTCATTGCTTCTTGCCAAGCTTTAATGCCAGTCTTTGCAAAGTGCAACCATTGAAGTCGAGCAATTTCTTTTAAGCTAGTCCATTCTGATTTTCACAGGTTTAAGAGTTTTGTTTTTTTAATGCTTTTAGTAGAAATCAAATTTACATCAGGTTGATTTTGTCTAAATTCATTCCGTATTTAGCAGTGCAAGCAGTTGCACATGACCTTCACTGACTTATCTCAATATGATTTTTTAATGCGCCCCCATTAATTTCATTGTAAATAACAATGCACTGTTGAGCTGTGAATGTTTGTGTTATCAATCATGCTGACAGAAAAGAATTAGAATTTAATACATATCAGGGAATGTTACACGAGCAGTGTATGAAATTATGTGATTTCTTCAATTGGGGCAGAACATGTTTTTGAATTGAATGCCTTTCATAGTGACAATCTGTATGTTTACAATATAATTATATTTCTTCATCCTTGAAAGGTTCTTAACAAACACTGTGTCGAAGCAGCTGTGATGACCGGGTTAGCCCTAAACTGTACCATTAATAAGAAATCTAAGTTTGACAGAAAGCACTACTTCTATGCTGACTTGCCGGTAAGCTTGTGCATGTATCAAGTAACTTCTATTAAGTAGTTAATTTTTTTGATGTACTGAATGCTCTTTTGATTCTAAATATTTTCAAAACATTTTAAATGCATAACTTATGAGTATAGAATAAGGGAGAAATAGATCATTAGGTCCCTTGAGCCTGTAAGATGTTCAGAAAAGTGAATGCTGGTCTGTTTGTGTTTCAAATTTTCCATATTTCCTTCTACCCTGATAACCCTTGATTCTCTTGTCTAACAAAAATCCACCTACCTCTGCCTTTAAAAAATTTAATGACCCTGCCTCCTCTGCCTTCTGAGGCTGCGAGTTCCAAAGTCAAGCAAACATCTGATGGCAAATAATAATTTACTTTCGGCATTAAATACAAACCTTAAGTGACAAATTCTTGTTGCTCATGAAATGCCTGTGCTTCACCTTGACCTTCATTTTTGCCAATTGCCTTACCACTTCTTTTGAAGATGGGACACCGTTTCAGGCTCAAGTTTTCTTCCTTTTGCAAACAATGGTATTAAAGCCAGTTGTAGGCCTACTATCAATCCTGCCAAGATCAATTATTGCCACAAGGTCAAGGCATCAGACCTCTTGCATCAATCCTCTTAATCGTTGCCATCTTCTGGGCTAGTTTTGATCATCTGAAGGGGTCAGAGAGGTATTTTAGAATAATTTATTCCTCTTTATAATATGAAGATCCATCAGTGTGTCTCCTTCTGACTAACTGTTGGAAGCATGCAACGTTGCATTGCCAGTACTACCCCCAAATGTCCCGATATATTCACATTCTCTCCAAAACTACATCCAATCTCTCCCAGATTTCGTATACTTGTGTATATATAGGAAGTGGTAGGTGTAGTGGTAATTTAAATGGATATCCGGAACCACCATGCTAATGTTCTGGGGTCATGTGTTCAAATCCCACTATAGCAGATGCTGAAATCTGAATTCAACAAAAGTTTGCATAATGATGATTCATGTAACTACTATTGATTGTTGTAGAAATATATTTGATTCACCAATGTCCTTTAAAAGGGGAAATCTGCCATCCATCCTTCCTATGTCTAACCGACATGTAACTTCAGATTCACAACTCTGTAGTTGACTCTTGACTGCCCTCTGAGAAGCAAGGATACGGACAATAAAAGCAAGGATACGGACAACAAATGTTAGCCTAGCCAGCGACTCCCGCGTCATATGAGCAAAAAAAAAATTCCCACACTACCAACTGTTGTGGGTTTTATCCATTTAGCAGGAGGCTTACACGAGTAGTCAAGAGAGATTCTCATTGCTATCCAAAGGTTCTGTTGAGCTGTTCAGCAGTTGAAAAATAAATAAGAGTGCAAGTGTGTACCTGAGTGTTTGTGCTCAACTGATTTTATTATGCTTCACCCATCCATCTCTATTTCTTTAGCAATTTTTTATTTGAATCCTCTAAGTGCTGCTTTATTTGCTTTTTTGTAACCTGTTTTTAGTTTCTATTATATTGCTATTATAACACAGTTACAAAGTAAATGCATAATGCATGCTATTCTATTAGTTTATTAATGTCAATTTACTGACAGGAGATAAGTTAAAAATGCAGGTTAACTTTAAAAAGAATTGTTGAATTATTTTTTTCTATTTATGAACACATCCCAAAGGAAATATTAAAGATTTGTTGCAACTAAATGTCTGAATTTTATCTGGTTCATGTCAAGAATCTTGTGCAAACATTTTGACAAGTGTTTTTTGTTATGCATGGTAGGTTGGCTATCAGATTACACAGCAGAGATGTCCAGTTGCCATCAATGGAAGTCTTGCATATAGTCTTTATGTTGGGAGAAACAGAAACCATTTGGTACCTAAATTGGTGAGAATTAGACAAATCCAACTGGAGCAGGATAGTGGCAAAAGTCTTCACGATGATGCAAGAACCCAAACGTTAATTGATTTAAATAGGGCTGGTAAGTACGAAGAGTAAAATTCACAATATAAAAAATGGCCTTTTACTAATTTTTACATGTGCAAGTATGAGGTTTATAAAATTGTGTGGTAGGTTGTCTGTTAATTTTTAGGTAAAATGAAGGGATGTAAACTGTGAATTCATCCCTTTTTGACTGGGCAGCTTGGTTGCTATGGGGCCAAGAAGGGCCCAACTTAAAAGATTTGCCAAGCAAAGTTCAGTGTTCTTTGACTGTAAAGTGCTATGGGATGTTTAGCTGATATGATAAGGCACTATATAAATGCAAGTCCTTTCACTTCAGCATTTGTCTTTTTTCAATCCAACTCTCCCCTTTCTGCACTTACGTTTTGACAAAAGCAAACGTGCAATTTTGTTTGCTAGATGTTATTTGATTGCAGGGGTTGGTTTGATGGAGATTGTTATGGAGCCAGATATGTGTTGTGGCGACGAAGCAGCAGCAGCAGTTCGGGAACTCCAACTTATCCTACAAACACTTGGTACATGTCATGGAAATATGGCAGGTAAAGAAGATATTTTATAATTCTGAAATAGCTTGCATCAGGATATTAAAAGTGACATTAAAATGTAAACTTCATTGTTAGAAAACAGCAATTTTGGCAAGAAGAAAATGAATTAGTCTTAGTTATTGAGTTTGTGTCATTGAACAAAAGGTGCAGACATTTGGAAAGCATGCTAACTTGTCAGCTTTAACAGAGAAAGGAAAGAAATTATAAATGAGAAACTGTATATATTGTTACTTTGTATCAGTAGAAATACTATATGTAAGCATGTACTTAATCAGTCCCTGCCAAGAATGCACACCAGTGTGTAGTTCTAGTTGTAAAGTTGGCTAAAGTGCTGAGGTACACCATCTAAGTGGTCAACATTAGTTACCGAACAGTGAATGTTAGTAGGCTATTTAACTGTGAAAGACGTCACATCCAGAGTCAGTCCTGACCAAACTGAATGTACTATGTAACTTTGGTCTCTGTACCGTAAGAAGCAGTTGCATCCAGTTTTTGATTCTGTACCTAAAGAACTTAGAACTCCTACAGTGCAGAAGGAGGCTATTCGGTCCGTCATGTCTGCACTGACCCTCTAAAGAGCATCCTGCCCAGACCCAGCCCCCTGTTGTATCCCCATAACCTTACGTTTACCATGTCCAACCCAACTAGCTGACACATCCCTGAACACTACAGACAATTTCAGCAAGGCCAATCCACCTAACCTGCACGTTTTTGGATTGTGGGAGGAATCCAGAGCACCCGGATGAAACCCATGCAGACACGTGGAGAACATGCAAACGCCACACAGGCAGTTGCCCGTGGCTGGAATTGAAGCTGAGTTCCTGGCATTGTGACACATTAGTCCTAACGACTGAGACGCCATGCCGCCCTTACTTGCATTTACTTTCACTAGAAAGGATGGAATAAAGTTTCAATAGATATATTCTTGAGAGAAGATAATTTTTTTTGAGAAGAGATTGCATAATTTATATTCTGTTTTGTGTTTTAAAAAATGAGACATTATCTCATTGAAACATCAAAGATTCTGAGAAGATTAATGGGTAAATCCTTAGAAGGTATTTACCCTTGCTGGAGAATTTACAATTAAGATCCAAAATATCAGGATAAACTGTTAGCCATTTAATACCTTAACTGAGATGAAAAATTTCTTCACTCAGAGTTGTGAATCTTTTGAATTCCCTATCTCAGAGGGTGATGGATGTTTCATTATTGAATGTAGTGAAGACTGAGAAATTTTTGAAGTCAAAGTGAATTAAGTGCATTGAGTATAGGAGTTGGGAGTTGCTGCAGCTGTACAGGACATTGGTTGGGCCACTTTTGGAATACTACGTTCAGTTCTGGTCTCCCTGTTATAGGAAAGATGTTGTTAAACTTCAAAGGCTGCAGAAAAGATTTACAAGCATGATGCCAGGGTTTGGGGATTTGAGCTATGGGAAAAGGCTGAATACGCTGGCTATTTTCCATGCAGTGTCAGGCTAAAGAGTGACCTTATAGAGGTTTATAAAATCATGAGGGGCATGGACAGGGTGATCAGCCAAGGTCTTTCTCCCAGGGTAAGGGAGTCCAAAACTAGAGGGCATAGGTTGAAGGTGAGAGCAGAAAGATATAAAAGGGACCTAAGGGGCAACTTTTAAATGCAGGAGGTGGTGCATGTGTGGAATGAACTGCCGAAGGAAGTAGTGGAGGCTTGTACAATTACAACATTATCGGGATGGGTATATGAACAGGAAGGGTTTGGAGGGATATGGGCCAAATCCCAGCAATTGGGACTAGATTAATTTAGGGTGTCTGGTCGGCATGGACGAGTTGGACCGAAAGGCCTGTTTCCGTGCTGTACAACTCTATTACTGTAAGTCATATGGGAATAGGTTGGCTCAGTAAAGTTGTCCTAGTTTTGGGGTTCAAAATAAAAGAAAAAAATGCAGTTTCCAGTGTATAAAATTAATTAAAAAATTCAAGTGAATGAACAAAAGATTTTCCAATTGTTATTCATTTACATGATACAAGTAGAGGAGAATGCCCAGATTTATAATCTCTCATGCTTTGTACAATTCCGAACTTTTATCATTCTCTTGAAATATAATGTCAGTTTGAAGCTGGGAAGCAACTATGGGTGGTTTAAATGACTTGTGATTTATTTACATTTTCAAATACATTAAGATAAAGAGGTTGTTGATTTGTTCGCTGAGCTGGTAGGTTGGCTTGCAGATGTTTCATCACCATATTTAGGTAACATCATCAGTGCAACTCCAATGAAGTGTTCTTGGTCTGTCCCGCTTGTTATTTATGTGCTCTGGTCTGATGTGGTGCTTTGCCTCATTTCTGGTTCAGCTTCGTAGTGGTTGGTATATGGGGCCTATTTCCACACGTTCATTGATGGAGTTCCGGATTGAGTGCCAGGCCTGTAGGAGATTCTATGTGTGACTTTAGTTGGCTTGTCCTCGGATGATTATGTTGTCCCAGTCAAATTGACGGCCTTTTTTGTCTCAGTGAATGGCAACGAGTGATAGTTTGTTATGTCTCTTGGTAGCTAGTTAGTGCTTATGTACCCTGATGGCTGGTTTTCTCCTTGTCTGTCCAATGTAGTGTTTCTGGCAGTCCTTACATGGGAGCTTATATATAACGTTGGTCCTGTTAGTTGTGGGTATGGGATCCTTTGTTCTTGTCTCTAGTTGTCGCAGTGTAGCTGTGCATTTGTGTGCTACTATGACTCCTAGTGATCAGAGTAATCTGATGGTCATCTCTGATACGTTCTTGATGTACGGCAGAGTCACTAGTGTATCCGGGCGTGCTGTGTCTTCCATTGTTGTCTGTTGAGTAAGTACTGGCAGACTAGCTTTTTGGGTAGCCGTTTTTAAAACGCTGTGGATGACCACCGGATTACTCTGACCACTAGGAATCATGGTAGCACACAAACCCACAGCTACGCTATGACAACTACTGACAAAAACAAAGGATCCCATACCCACAACTGACAGGACCAACATTATATATAAAACCCCATGTAAGGACTACCACAAACGCTACATCGGACAGACCAGGAGAAAACTAGCTATCACGGTACATGAGCACCAACTAGCTACCAAGAGACGCCACCAGCTATCATTTATTTCCATACACTTGGACAAAGAAGGCCACCAATTCGAATAGGAAACATAACCATCCTAGGACAAGCAAACTAAAGACAAGCACGGGATTTTCTAGAGGCCTGGTACTCCACCCAGAACTCCATCAACAAACATGTGAAAATAGACCCGATATACCAATCACTACGAAGCAGAACTGGAAATGAGGCCAACCACCACATCAGACCGGACCACATAAATAACAAGTGGGACAGACCAACAATGCTTCATTGGAGGTGCACTGATAATGTTACTTAGTATGGTGACGAAACGTCTGCAAACCAACCTATCAGCTCGGCGAACAAATTAACAACCTCATCAACAACGCGAGCTACAAGTCTTCTCAAAAACTTTAAACATTATGATAATTATTTTAGTTGGGGGAGGTAAGTGACGTCGTAGTAATATTATTGGACCAGTAATGCTGAGGCTTGGGGCCATAGGTTCAAATTGCACCACAGCAGGTGGTGGAATTTAAACTAAATTAATAAATCTGGAATATAAAGCTCATCTAAGTAATGATGTCATGAAACTACTATTGATTGCTATAAAAGCCCATTCTGTTCTAATTCCCTTTAGGAAGGAAATCTACCATCTTTATCTGGTCAGGCCTTCACGTAACTTTAGATCTACTATAATGTAGTTGACTCCTAGCTGCCTTCAGAATAGAGGGTGCTGAACAAATGCTGGACTTGTCAATGAAAGAATAGTAAAGAAAATCACCCAAATGAATCCCAGTGTGCTACTATTACAACCCAATGAGGGACAGTCAGCATTTAAAGAAAACAGTTAACTGACAACTATGCCACAAGATTTCTCTATTTTAAACAAAAACTTTACTGAAAGAAAATTAATTAAACAAAGTTCACTTTAATAAGTGAGTACTACAGTTCATAACTATGTAAATTGTGAACACAATGTTACATTTTATTTTGCACCCGCCCCATCATGAGCTGCATTGACCTCTTAGAGATCAATCTAAAGGTGTGCTTAGATTTCACTTTAATTCACTTCAGAGTTCCATCTAAGATTCTGAGGGGCTTTTCTTTTAGCTTTTTGGCTGGGCAACCACCCACCTATGCTTTACATGACTGTTAACTGTGGCAGCTTTGGCTCCTTGTTTGAGTTGCTGACATAACCCAAATGCCTTCTCTTAACTTTCCAAGCTAATTCTGTTGATTGGCACCACCTACATTCCAAAGGGTAAACGATAAAGTTAGTATTTTCTATGCCTGAAATGGAGGCCTAACCGACTTGTTGGTGTCCCCAATCTAATAAGATGCAGTCTATGCCAAACCTTGAATAGTTGTCATTTGCTATACCTTTTCTCCATCTGCAGCCTTGTGACCCACCAAAACTTGTTTGCTAATTGAGCACTTTGCTGCACTTCACTTAAGTGCTGAAGGGTGAAGACAGGAATTTCAACCGACCTGTTTAAAATGGCAGTCTGTGCCCAGGGTTTTGGTAAGAGTAAGTAAGGATGCATTGGTGGAGTGCTGAACTTGATTTTTCATGCAGGTGCTCACTCTTTCCATTGGAGATATAATTCAGTGTAAAGACTTGACGTATAATAGTGGAGTTTGTCTCAAATAGCTATCTTTTTCCAAATGTACACAGTGCTTTTGAAAATGAGATTTTGTCAACACGTCTTGTGTTGCTTCGACAAAATTGTCCTCTTTATGGATGACACCTGAGGCTCAACAATTAGTACAACTGAGCAAAGCTTGGAGTATCTTGCACACTGCATTAGAGATACTCCATTGATGACCCTGTCTTCAACAAATATTTCTTGTTTGAAGAGTGTGCCTGATACGTGGAGGGCGTGTATGAGTCACCATGTGAAAGGATTCACTGTCTTTTTTGCAGATGTTACATTTCAATTAATGCTAAGCAGGAAATTTACTGCTAAGTGCCTCATACTAGTGCAATATATAATTTTGATACCAGTTGTAAGATCCACATTCCTGCATTGCCACTGTTCTTTGCACTCTTCTAACCTGTGATCTCCATGGCTGCTAACTCGACAGCGAACATCATTTCTATCACCTCGGGGTGTCTACTCCTTGTACCTTCTCTCTTTGGAGTCCTGTACGCTTTTCTCCTGCAAGGAGAGAAAACAAAGTATGAGTGTGAAAAACAGATTGTGTGAAGAAGAAATAATGGTAACATTTGTGGAGGGTAACTGAGGGATGTATTTCAGATGGCAGTAAGTTGAGGATGTGTCCTTGTTGGTTGTTCAAATGGAAATGTGCAGAAGTACGTTTAGATTAAGAAATGTCTTGAGCTATGAAATGTGTTCATCTGAGGAGTGCTGCAGAGAAGAAGTCAGTATGTGTTGGTACCTAAGGGTTTTACCACTCAATTTACTGTCTTTGTTGGGTAATCTTGTGACACTGAATTCAGCTGTGAAGGACCACACATCTACCATTCACTTTGTCTGTCACTTCCGGCCACGCTAGGTGACCTCTTGCCAAGTTCACAGCAAACAGTATTTCTCCATGGGTCCTGCTGTCTGTCAGAGTCACGCACAAGTTTGTCCGCAAAGATGTCCATGAACAGTGAATTATAGCTTGTTTAGGCTACTTTTAGTTTTTTGTGTTCCAAATTAGAAATAACTAGCAAAATGTCAATCTTAAGCAAGATGAAAGGTTAGTTTGTTAACTATTTCTGAAAGTTATTAAGTAAAACATGATGCAGTTATTAGCTAGTGCATAGATGCAAAGTTTGAAAGTGGATACAGATAAAATATACCAAAGATAATGAGATCAGTTTGTTACCATTGCAGGCCTGGCTTTCTTGAAGATTTCTCTTTCTGAAGTAAAGAGGTTGAAAACTTGAAGTCACAAATCAACAGCTATGATGGTTCTGTAGTCAAATAGTTTGTGGCTCCTTCCACATGTGGACTGAGTAGAACGGTTTCTGTGAAATTCTTTTCTCTCACTTTTATAGCACTGGAGACTGGCACTTGGTGGCCTGCTTCAGCGCAGCAGTCCTTTAGCTAGTTTACGTCCTCTCTCCCCATTGAGAACACTCACTGTCTCTGATGATGTGTTGTATGGTGTCTGTGAGACTCTTGTGGTTCTGACAAAATAGTTATCACAGCTGCCAAAGCTGCTTTCCTAACTTTGAATCATTGTTTCATAAAACAAAATAAACGGAGTTGGAATTCCTTGTGCTGTCTGCAGTGTTCGTAAGGAGGTCAGTCAGCTGGACCTCATAAAATAGAGTTCCCTGATTGGACCAGATTAACAGCCCCAGTTGTGGAGTTGTGGCAGACATAAAAAGGTTGTGTGTCAGAGCTACTGACACTCTGGTGCCTGAGTCTGTATGTGGCAGGACTATAGTGAAGGACTGTTCATGAGTAAATAAAGAGTGACTTGGTGACAGCCTCTGTAGAGCAATTTTGGCATCTTTCCAGCTTCTTGCTCTCTCAGAAGGTTTGAATTCTCATATTGTGTTGTCTAAGGCATAATCAAATCTTAAGTGTCTTCCTTTGTGATTGATGCTAAAGTAGCACATCAGTGGGTCTGGTTTTTTTTGATGTAAAGAATGCACAAGAGTAGTCATGTGACTTCTGGGAGTCACTTTTTGAAATTTTATGTCCATTTCAAAGATAGATTAGCCTTCTTATAAAAATACGTATCTTTATAATCACACGGACAGGACTGAGCCCACAGCCATTTTGATCCATGACCTTTTAAGCAGAAATCTTTCCACTGACAAGTACTTGACATCCTTAGGTATGTACTTTGGTCATTAAAGCTGGAAGTAGGATGCTAATGTAGTGGCTGAGTTAATGATCGTGGTAAAGCCTGCTTTGTTGAGAGTCCGATTCCCATCTCATTGCCAGCACCCTCTTCCTTCTCTGATTGTGACGGTTTCAATCAAACTTGGCCCATTATGTCCAATTCTGAGCACCATGCCTTTGGACAGATCTTATGTCTTAGACGATTCAGAGAAGCACCAAACTTGATCACATCCCATTCTCCACCTTAAGTGTTTACTGCTTCTACTGGCACAAAGTGGCAGCAGCCACTCATGAACAGTCCTTCACTATAGTCCTGCCACATACAGACTCAGGCACCAGAGTGTCAGTAGCTCTGACACACAACCTTTTTATGTCTGCCACAACTCCACAACTGGGGCTGTTAATCTGGTCCAATCAGGGAACTCTATCTTTGGTATATTTTATCTGTGGCAGCAGCCAATATTGTCTACGATGCACTATAACAATTTGTCAAAGCTCTTTCAGCAAACTTCCCAAACCCATGTCCTCAACTGCCAAAAAGAACATAGACAACAGATGCATGGAAACACCATTACCTGTAAGTTTTTCTTCAATTCCCAAACCATCCAGATTTAGAACAATATTGCCATTACTTCACTGCCACCGAGACAAAATCCTAGATCTCCTTCCTAACAGAACTTGGTGTACCTACACTTGCTAAGTTGTAACAATTCGAGAATGTAGTTCATCTCCACCTTTTTATGGGCAACAGACATGCCATTGATGACCATGTGACATGAACAAAAAGAAATAGTTTGAGAAAGTATTTGAAATTATGCATAGTATTTGCACAAGACTTCTAGTGTGTAGAGGCATATTGGAAGACTCTGCTCCCGACAAGGAAGGGATGCACATATCGGTGCCAGAGTAAAAGTTGTGTGTTGAGCTTTGGATTGAGGAAAACTCGGAATGTTCAATAGAGGAATACCATGGAGGGATTTGTAAAAGAGGGCAAGGATTTTAAAGTCAATTCACTTGGTGATAGGAGCATGTGACTTTAGATCTTGCAACAACTTGTGCTTGTAGGACGAGCATCGATGACTTGTAGGTGAATTAAAATAGGAATTTCAATTTCCAGTTCTACTTTTCTTCCATTGGATTAGGGAACCTATAAAGATGGAGGTTGATAGGAGAAGTTAGGGAAAGCTGCGCTACATTGCAAGTTGAATTAGAAATTAACAGTGTTTTTGTTTTAGATGGCGAAGTATTTTATATCATGCATTGTCTGCACAATCCTACCTGTGTTTATATACCAAAACTTTAAAAACCCACGTAGTGAGAATAGCTGCATTTCCTATTAAAGAACTTGTATGTATTTTTCACACTTATGGAGTGGAAACAGCACCTGTCTTTGTAAAGTTTAAGCAAAATCCCATCTTTATCGTTAATTTTCACTGTATATTAAAATTTCTTTTGAGCTAACATTGTCAGTAATTATATTTTGTCCACTACATTGAAAATTGTTTCAAAGGGGATTGTCTCAAACATAATTTTACTTTGTTAATCTAATAATTCCTTATGGCTTTGAACCTTTTTTAGATCTTAAATAAATAGGAAATGTAACATTTTTCTCACTTAATGTAAGTAACAATTCTAATTTATTATTCATCGTGAAGCAGTACAGGACTCAGTGAAAAATCACAAGCATTCTGCAATTTGTGGAAAATTTTTCTGTCCTAGAAATTTAGTGCAATTTGACTTGTATACATCATACTTTGTTTATATTCTTCCTTGATGCTAGACCCTGCTTAGAAATGTAGTTCTGGAGAATTTTACATTAGTTGTTTGAAATTTAATTTTAATGTATCTTTATTTTACAGTCTTGTGACAGTAAACGGATTGTCTGCATTCTGTTTCAATAAGGGGAGATTACAGTCATGTCTTGTTTTAATTTATGCAGAGGGACAGTTAAGAGTTGACGCCAACGTTTCTGTGCATCAACGTGGTGAGCCATATGGTGTGAGAGCAGAAGTGAAGAATATTAACAGTGCCCGATTTTTGGCAAGAGCAATCGGTCTGTGAATGTCTTCCATCTGTCCTAATCTAAATTCTTAACTGCATTGGATTGTGAGGCTTATTTTTTTCCTCCTCATAGTGTTTCCAACTGAGGATCATTTAACTAAACTCCATCAAAAGAAGTTATTGTTCTTTGTTTGTTTTTGTGGATATAACTTGAAGTTCTAAATGGAAAACATGTTTTGAAAAGATTTATTTGATAGAACTTAAAAAAATTATTTGTTACAGAAATCATGCTGTGATCATCTGGAATATAACATTTGTTTTATTTGTAACAGATTATGAAATTCAGAGACAGATTGACATCTTGGAGAATGGAGGGAAAATATTAAATGAGACCAGAGCATTTGATTATAAAACCGGGTGAGAATTTATATCGGACTTTTTGCCCACTCAGTGGAAAAGGAGAATCTAAAATGTTAAAATTCAGTTTCTTCTTGACTTTGTGGACTAAGGTTTGCATTATACTACTAAGTTGTTCAGATCAGTAAGAACTCTGCTTTGATCATTATATCTGCTAAATTGACGATCTCATGAGCAATGCAGTGCAGATACTTCAAATGACTTTAGAAACCTCAATCTTGGGAATGATCATGATGTGGAGGTGTCGGTGTTGGACGGGGGTGGACAAGGTTAGAAGCAACACAACACCAGGTTATAGTCCAACAGGTTTATTTGAAATCACAAGCTTTCAGAGCACTGAAGGAGCAGCGTTCCAAAAGCTTGTGATTTCAAGTAAACCTGTTGGACTATAATCTGGTATCATGTGACTTCTGATCTTGAGGATGATCAGACAATAAACCCAGTTATGTTCTCTGGCAGTCTCTTGTGCAAAGTGTGCCTCTCTAGAAATGAAGTGAGAGTAGAACTGAATTCTGTTATGATGGCCTTCATTGGACAATGGCATTTGATAATTAAACAGGAGCGAGTCTTTGGCTGAGTGGTACTGTGTTGATCTTTTAGTCAGAGGATCGAAGGTTTGAATCCTTCTGGAGTTCATCCCAATGAGTGTCTGGCAAATTATGAATTATTTATTACTGTGGGTAGTGCCCCCTTATTGTATGGATTCTCGGTGCTCATAAAATCTCTGTTGTACAGGACCAACTACTGAATAGTCTAATGTAAAGGTAGTTTTACAGTTATGGAAGGAACTATTTGCATCACAATCTGTCAGACTTTCAAAAGCTGCAAATCCTTCCATTGACTCTATTCTTTTAAAAAGGAAGTGTACTAAGATATGAAATACATCAAATTGATTCTTGGAGGACCACGCCCACTTCAGACCACCCTACAGATCTCATATTTGATGCAATCCAATAGCTGGTCTCTCTTGTTTGTCTCTCTCACTCTCTTTCAACTCATGTAAATAACTTGACGAACCCATCATAACAAACTGCTCAACTCACCGGCACTAAAATCCTTGGGTGTTATCCTTCTTCGATTTCGTCAATCTTTCCACAGCATTTCCTATGATCTATCATGCTATCCTACTGGCAGTCATTCTTTAAATGTTGACATCATGTGACTGTGTTTAGACATAACAACTGCAAATTGCCTGAATCCAGCAGTGCATCTTTATGTATAGCCTGTCTTCCTGCCTGTGCGTAATCAACTTTGGAATTTCCCACAAATCTGTCTTTGACTCGTTCCTCTTGTTCATGTAAGCTTTTTAAGATGATCTAATCTGAAAACATGATCCATTGAATTGCATAAAGTTCTGAGCGTTTGACTTCCTCTGACAGAAGAATTTAGACTACTAGGCATAGTTATATAGTCATATTCTGATATGATAAAATCTAAAAATCTATTTGTATCAAATGGAATTGAATTACCCAAATCGGGCGGAACGGAGAGATGACGGATCAGAAGTGATCTTATTAAATGGCAGAGAGGCCCAAGTAGTAATACAGTCCATTACTCCTATTTCTTATATTCTTGATGAGTCAGCTTCAATGTGGTGGCATTTAACTGCACCTTGCCAACACTTCCCTCAACCCAGTACCATCAGAGTGCAGCCAGACTGTCTGTTCAATATAGTGTCATTGAATCAAATTATTTACCAACTAAAAATTGGGTGAACTAAAGAAATTGTTTAAACCCTTACTTCGAACTCTCTTCTTCTGAATCTGAGTATCTGATTCTTATGTCTCCCACTCTCATTGTTGCACTGTTGGTGATCATGCCTTTAGCTGCTTGTCCCCACACTTTGAAATTCACTCCCTAAAACCTTGTGCCTATCAGCTCTTTTTTCTTTCATAGAATCCCTACAGTGTGGAAACAGGCCCTTCGGCCCAACAAGTCCACACCAACCCTCAGAGCGTCCTACCCAGACCCATCCGCCTATAACCGGCCTAATATACACATCCCTGAATACAACGGGCAATTTAGCATGGCCAGTCCACCTAGCCTGCACATCTTGGAGGAAACCGGAGCACCAGGAGGAAACCCACGCACACACGGGGAGGATGTGCAAACTTCACGCAGACAGTCGCCCGAGGATGGAATTGAACCCGAGTCCCTGGCGCTGTGAGGCCGCAGTGCTGACCACTGATCCACCGTGCCAGCCCTTCCATTAAGACTGTTCTTGAAAAAGTGACCTTGTTAAGCTTTTCTTTGCCTATTCTGACTACTTCTGCTTTCTCTTAACATATTTAATTGTGTCTCTGGAAATCCTTAAGTGTGTTACTTTCTACATCAAAGGAACTATATAAATCCAACCTGTTATGCCTTATATGTTATTAAAGATGGAATAGGTGGATATGATACAAAGTCTAACTCTCTTTATAAAAAGTGCAGGGCAATCATTTGTTAATAATCATTTTACACCTTGAGTTTTTTTTATTTGTTTGTTTGTTTATTTATTTATTTATCTGTTACCTGAAGAGGGGGAAGGGAGTGATGCATGATTTTTATTCCTTTTTTGAATTTGTTAACCTTTTGATAGATACTCCCACATATAGTGCACCCAAAAGGCAGTGCATGCTGCTGGGCTATTTAACTGCAAACACTTTACAGCGAAGCACAATACTGTCTCAGCTGATGCCTACATAAGCACGTCATCAACTGGAGTCTTCTCTGTTCTAGTTATTATATCCTAATGTCATTTGTGATGTCCTTTCACTGCTGTAACTGAAATCAGCTAACTCAGCACGGATCATGAAGCATGTTCAGACTCTTCTACGTATAAGACTGAGTTAGTCTTTGCATCAAATTGCTAAGCTATGACAGGAATCCATTTCATTGATGATAAAGTGAAGTCTTTAGTTCTCCTGCAGTTTTAAGTTAAATTTTATTAGCTTTCAGCACGACAAGAACATTCAGCACATATTAGAAAGGGCAAGATCACAAAATAGTTAAGGATGAGGCAAGTCATTATTGCATTTTGGTTTATACATTAAGAAAGATTCCCTATTTTAGCATGTGGTTTGCATGTTAAAATAGTTCATGTTTCTTTGAAAGTACATTCCATACGTTGACTAGTCATTGCATGAAACAATTACCTTGCTAAATTTATGTTTGTTTCCTTATCCTTGACTTAATCTCACTTAATTAAAAGTAATACTTTTACTTCCCTTCTCCATTTCTTTAACTGTCATATACATCTTAGATCAGTCAGACCTATTGGCAACGGCCCAGCATCATCTGAGTAATCTCAACTCAGGTTTTTCTTAAAGTACTTATCATTTACATCCTGGGACTTGTACCCAAGTTGGGAGAACTGTCCCACAGGTCATTTGAACAAAGCCCTGTAAGTATGACATAACCAAACTGTTCTTTTTTTTTTTACTTTTAAATATTTGAAATAAACATTCTGAATTTATTATTTTGTGTCCATTTCCAGTCTCAAGTCTGTGAGTTGACTATGACACTTGAACTTTCAGGAAAATGTTAGTGAAGTTCCAAATGAAAGACACATTAAGAACCAGAAGTTAAAAAAAACTGTGAATTCCTATGAGAGGTAAAGGCAGAGTGTTCAGTAGCATCCACTAGTTATTGCATCTGTTAATTTAAGATGTTTTATTAATTTATCTGAGAAAACCATAGGAATGGGTGTCAAGCTTGTATTGCCATTCAGTTAGGTTAGCACTGATCATCTACCACTTTGCTAGTCTACCTCCATACCCCTTGATGTCATCAGTCTCCAGAAATCTATTGGTTTCTGTCTTGTTAATGTTCCATGGCGTCTTGGTAGAGAATTCCAAAGATTCATCAGAAAGAAACTCCCCCTTGTCTTAATCTTAAATGGCCTATCCCTTAATCTGAGATTATATCCCCTGGCTGTAGATGCACCAGCTAGGACAAACATACTATCCACATCCAACCTATCACACTTTGTACAGATTATGAAAGTTTCAATGAGATCACTTTTCATTCTCTAAAACTGTAGAGAATGCAGGCCAAATTTCCTCAGTTTTTCCTCATAAGACAACCCCACTATGACTATTGGTCTAGTGAACCTTTGTTGTACTGTATGGCTAGTGTAACATACTTTAAATAAGGAGACCAAAGTTGTACATAATATTCCAAGTGGAGTTTCACCAAGGCTCCAAACAATTGCAGCAAGATATATTTACTTATGTATTCAAATCTCTTTACAGTGAAGGGCAGCATGCTATTTGCCATCCTTGTTGATGTTGCGCCTGGATGCCAACATTTAGTGCCTCATGAACACCTGCTTCTCTTTGGCCATCAATACTTCCCAACCTCTCTCCATTTAAGTAATATTCTACCTTTATGTTTTTTTCTACCAAAGTGGATAACTTCACGTCCATCTGTCATGTTCTTGCCCATTCACTTAACTTGCCCTAGGTCATTTGAAGCCTCCTTTCAACTTACATTCCCATCCAATTTTGTGGCATCGGCAAATTTGGAAATATTACAATTGGCCCCCACATCAGATCATTTATATAGATTGTGAACAGCTGTAGACAAGCACTTATATGTTGCTGTGCACCATTAATAACAGCCTCCCATCTTGAAAATTTATTCAAACGTAAAAAAACAGAACAGTTTGGCTATGTCATACTTATTGGACTTCAGGTATTGATCAAATGACCTGTGGGATAGTTCTCCCAACTTGGGTACCAGTCCCAATATGTTCACATATTCTCAGCCCATACTAGCTCCATTCCCTCTATTTCTTTCTGCTGCTTTGCAATCCTGTTATGTCCATGCTTGGTAGAAGTTTCCGGAACCAGAAGATCAATTGGCTTGCTTTGACCTTCCGGATCGATGCACAGAAGTATGTTACTCCAGTCCCATATGCTGTAATTTTATTTATTAATCTCCTGTGTGAGACTTTATCAAATGCCTTTTGTAAATCTAAATAAACCACACTTACTGGTTCTCCTTTATCTATGCCA